GGCAGTTGGAACAGTTTGCACAGAGGCTCGTCGACAAAGGCAAGAAGACGGAGAAGGGCGGCGAGAAGCGTTGAGGGCACATGCCACATCGCACTGGGACTATCGACTGGCAGTTTTGTGAGAAAGGGTGAAACGGAAAGAACAGGCGCAGCGTCAGACCAATCTGGGGAATTCATGACACTCAGACTGGAGAGGACTTCGACCGCGCTATTCGGTGGCATCCACGGGCCGACGCATTCATATCCATGTCTCTTTGTCCCCACCCACGCGGGTGCGGTATGGCGGAAGTATGTGGAGTTTCTTCGCAAACCACGGCAGTCTCGGGCTTCGCAGCCCCTCGCTTGAGAGAGAGAGAGAGAGAGAGAGAGAGAGAGAGAGAGAGACCCGTGAGATCATTCAGGTACAAAGACTACTCTATTTTCTTTTTTCTCGCATAGGCTACCGGACGCCCCGTGCATTGCTCGGAATTCTTTACGCTTCGCATATCCCCACCAGCCCATCTCACAACAGCAACTCTTGCGAAGCATGCCGACAGTCGCGTTTTTTCAGGCGTGCGTCCGCTTGGCCCCGCACGACGACGACGACGACGACGACGACGACGACGGTTGGTGGGCGTCGTTGGGGGCCCTCGTTGTGTGAGTCCTTCGGCCCCGTCGTTCTTGTGTGAGTCCTTCGGGACCCTATTCCTGGTGCGAGTCGTTCGGTCTCCTCGTTGTGTGAGTCGTTCGGGCCCCTCCTCCTGGTGTGAGTCGTTCGGGCTCCTCGTGTTGCGAGTCGTTCGGGCTCCTCGTGGTGTGAGTCGTTCGAGCGCGTCGTCCTGGTGTGAGTCGTTCGGGCTCTTCGTGGTGTGAGTCGTTCGGGCTCTTCGTCCTGGTGTGAGTCGTTCGGGCTTCTCGTGGTGTGAGTCGTTCGGGCTCCTCGTGGTGTGAGTCGTTCGGGGCCCTCGTCCTGGTGCGAGTCGTTCGGGCCCCTCCTTCTGGTGCGAGTCGTTCGGGCTCTTCGTGGTGTGAGTCGTTCGGGCCCCTCGTCCTGGTGTGAGTCGTTCGGGCTGCTCGTGGCGCGAGGCGTTCGGGCACCTCGCCCCCTTTTGGGGCGCCTTGGGGGCCTCTTGGCGGCCCCAGGGGCTTCTAGGAGCGTCTTGGGTGCCTTGGGGGAGCCTCTTCGGGCCTCTTGGGAGCCTCTTGGAGGCCGTTTGGGGCGTCTTGGGGGCTTCTTGGTGGCCCCAGGGGCTTCCAGGGGCGTCTTGGGTGCCTCGGGGGAGCCTCTTGGGGCCTCTTGGGTGCCTTTTGGGGGCATCTTGGGGGCCTCTTGGAGGCCTCTTGGGGGCCTCCTGGTGGCCTCTTGGGGCCATCTTGGGGCCTCTTGGTGCCTCCTGGGCGCTTATTGGAGCCATTTTGCAGGAGATTGATCAAAGAAGAGGGGAGCTTTAATGAGCGCTGCCCCCTTCAGAAGGGCAAACTGAGCCCAAACCCTTCGCAAAATCAATGGTTTTGCCTTGAAGGAAGAGGGGGGCTTTAATGAGCGCTGCCCCCTCAGAAGGCCCAAATGGGGCCAACGCCGTAGTAAAATCAACGATTGTGGCTTCACAGAAGAGGAGAGGGCCCCCCCCCCCCCCCCGTCGGGGCCAGAATCCTCGTGAGGGGTGTCGTTTTTTAGCCCTCCCAGGAGTCGAAAATGACCCCCCCAACGACCCGCGGAGGGACCTCTCCAGGCCCAGGGGAGGGGGTAGGGGGAGGGGTAAACCCCTCCCCGAAGGGGAAGAAGGGGGGTTGAGAACAGAGCGGGCTCTCTAAACCACTCACGCCCAAAGGGCTGGTGGGATTCAGAGGCCTCCCTTACGACAAACATGCACGATGGAGGGGTCCCAGTGCGACGTGGGCAGCCCATTGCTTCAGATACGAGGGCGACTGGGGCTTCCTGCTCAGACCTGAGGCCTGTTCCTAGGCCACCCACGCTCGGTTTCTTCCGTGGCTCTCGGGCTCCTGCCCCCCCCCCCCCCCCCCCGGGCCAAGGCCTGGCGGCCGCGGCCCGCGCGGGGGAGGAGCTCGATCCGCCCTGGAGGCTCGTCGCCAACGGCGCCCTCTGAGAGCTCTCGGCACATCTACGAGTCAACGGCGCCAACCACGACGTCGGGATCAGCTGTTGCGAGAAATGCCAAGGGGTGCGAGAAGAGGCAGGCAGCGGCAGCAGGGGTGGAGGAAGGCCGCGAGCCCAAAGTTATCAGCTACAGCTTTTCGCCCACCGTCGAAGCAAAGGGGGGGAGGGCTATGACAGCAGACGCGATCAGCTACAGCGTCGGGGACAGCGCGAGAGGGCGAACCGTCAGCGCAGGAAGAACTTAGCCATTTCATTCAAAAGGGGTCTGTTTGGAGCCTGACACCATCAGTTACCTACAGCACCAACGCCGCGGCGCGCGAGAAGGATAGGCAGCGGCAGCAACATCGGAGGAAGGGCGCGAGCCCAAAGTCGTCAGCTACAGTGGTCAGCTCATCGCCAAAGACAGCGGAGGGTTATGGCAGCAGACGCGATCAGCCACAGCGTTGCGGCGAGCTCGCGGGAAGGAGACTCAAGAACGCCCGTAAAACGCACGGGCAGGCAGAGGCGAGCATGTGAGAAAGCAGGCAGTGGCAGCAGGAATTACGCTGCCACCGGGGGCTTGTTAGATACGGCATGCAGTGTGGCAGCAGCTACAGGCATGCGTTGCAGCGCATCCGCGGGATATCTGCGCCGCGTGGGGGTCATGGCCCTTGTCTCAATTGCAGCGCGGAGCTTGCAAACCCGAGGGGTTGTTGCCGAAACGCCAGCAATGCGAGAATGCTGGGGCACCTTCTGGCCGTCACCGTGGAGCGGAAGGCATCCGACCACAAGTCGGCCCTCTGAGGGCCAAGGGCTTGGCCATTTTGAGTCTGGCTCGGGGTCGACGCGTGCGGCGAAATTCGACCGCGAGATGTTCGGGGCGCCTGCGCCTCCTGGTTTCTCGCTCGACCGCGAGATCTTCGGGGCGATTGCGCCTCCTGGTTCCTTCGGCCGCCGCTCTCGCTCCGGAGTGGCGTTTGATCTGGGGCGCAGCCTAGTATTTGCCCGGCCAATTTGCTGCGCCGGCTGTCTGCATTCGCTTACACGCACGCTTGCTGGAGTCATTGGTGGCCTGTCCGCTAAGAAAAAGGTGGCCCCTTCTCTCGGACCAGAGATCCATCTTCTAAAAACGACTCAGGATGCGAAGCTGGCCCACAGCGCAGGGGTCGAAGGGGCTCGGAACTATAGAATCGCTGGACACATGCGCACGGCGTGGCTCCGCCGGAACGGCATTCCCGCCGTCGGACGCATCCAGATATGACCTGACGGGGTTCGGATCTGCGGCACTTCCCGTCGGCTGCGTCTCGTCCAGGTCTTCGCGGGGGGCGCCAGTCATTGGCGCCAACAACGGCCTCCCGAGGCTCGGGTTGCGGACAACGGCCCCCCGTGGGTCGTCGCAAGAAATTTCGGCGAGCTGTCTCTGCGCATGTTGCTCCTGTGTTTCAGGAGCTCTCTCGTATCGACTCGGCGTCAAGAGCCGCGCACATGGATATTATTCCCAGATTATTTCAGCGCGTGCGCTGCGATGCTCTGGGAAGACGACCGTGCACGGTCAACCGCACGCGCGGGCGTGCTCTGCGTTTCGCCAGCGTGCCCAAACTTGAAAAGCGGTTTGGAGCCCGGAACTAGGCGTAAGCCTCAGCAGCGAGTTGCTGGACGTGGCCCGCGGCGGCGCTGCACCCGGAGTTAAGAGCCATGTGGCGAGAGGAGAGAATAGAGTGCAGACAGTGGAAATCAGAGGAGAGTTGAGGGTTGCAACTAGATCTAGGGTGTGAGGACGCAAAGCGCATACGGAGTCATTAAACGGAACGCTGTTCGCATAGAACAGATTACAGATGACACAACAAGCGCGTGCGACGTCGCTTGCTCCCGCCTATCATCAGAGCGCTGCCTGTGCGTTATGTGTTGCGAGCAGCTGTTTGGATTCCCGCTGGCAGCGTTGTATAACTTAAGACTGAATTCCGGTTTGCGTGCATGCGTATATGTACACACATGTGTGGTTTCAAAAATGTGTGGTTGTTGTTTATAGATACACATACATACATACATACATACATACACACATCGAAATTCGGCCCATCCATCCACTGTGCCTGCGCTATAAGTCAGAGTCCTCCAGGGCCGAAAGCATCGGGAAGCAACGTTTCTTTCAGTCACTTCTGGCCCCGGCGACATCGTCATGCAGGACGCCCCTGGAGGCGCGTGCCACGCCCCCGCAAATCTACGAGTTGGGTAAGGGACCCGTGGAACAGTTTTTAGAATGAGTACGTACCCGACAGAGGTTTCGGAGGGACCCGAGGATATTTTACTCAGTGCCTACGGCGCGGTGGCGGACGCGTGCACACACACACACGCACACGCACATGGCCGGCACGTGCACACACACATACATACATACATAATGAGATATAGCGTGTGGACCCGTGGGTAACATCCACGGAGTTGCGTGAGTCGACGTTTGCTGGCGCGTTTTCTCGCTGTTGGCGCGGGAAATCGAAGCCGTTAATTTATTAAGGCCTTCCTGGGGGCCTTGGGGCCATCCAGGGGGCATGAGTGTATTTGTTAATGTATGTATATATACAGTAAACATATATACGCACAACCATAGTATGTAGTTATCTATGTCTAAACATATATATATACATATATATATATATATGCATGTATGTGTATGTATAATTGTGTATGTGTGTATGCATGCATGTGTATATACATAGGTGTGTATGAGCAGATATCGGGACGATTATAACATAACGCTCGGAAGCCGAGAAACGCCGCATCCCTACGTAGATCTCTTTGTGGTTCAAATGTTTATTCCCTCTTGAGAGAGGGGTGAGGTCCAGGCGCCCTTCCTTCAGCAGGACCTTGCCGCGAGTTTTAGGCGTGACCAGTCTGCCGCTTTCCCAGGGTTCACGCGCTCGGGCATGGAGGAGGAGGTGCCTGCAGACCTCTCGCTGGGGGAGTCCGAGCCCGCCGCCCTCCGCTTCCCCGTGCAGGTCGGCCGCCTGCATCGCTGCACGGCGTTCGTCGCGGAGGCGCGGCCGCAGGGTGAGTACTTCATCCAGGTGATAGGCGCCTACCCTCCCGACGAGGATGGCCAGCTCGCACGGGCCGAGCAGATTCGCCGCAGCGAAGGCTGTAGGGCCTGGTGGATGGTTCATCCCGCGGAGCGTGGGGGGCGCAGGGCGGCCGCTCTACCACTGTTGCGCGGAGGAGATGTGCCTTGCCACGCTGCGCGCCTCCCGCGGGACGCTGATCGCCGTCTCGGAGCTCGAGGAGGTCGACGCTGCGGAGGCGTCGGAGTTCTACCTGGAGTGCCATGCGGTGGACCCTTGGGCCCGCTGGTCCCAGGAGCTCGGGCCCGAGCCTGCAGGAGAGGCGGCGGCTTGCAGGTCGTCGGAGGTCGAGCTGGACGGGTTCGGCATGCCGCTCGAGGGCTGCGCGGTTCAGGACACGGCTGCCCCGACCTCGGGCCCGCGCCCCATGGTGGCGCCAGCGCGCGGCGGCGGCCGCCAGCCCGCTGCCCTGCAGGCCTCGCCGCTGGAGGAGGCAGGCGCCCGCCCGTCAGCCGTGGCGCCCCCTGCGCGCGAGACAGGGCCGACAAGAGGCGCGCGCCCGAGGTGCCAGCAGAAGCGGCGGCAAGTGCCGCGGGCGGCAGCGCTGGGGCGGGGGCCGAGGGACCTCTTCTCCAGCTGTTGCTTGAGGCGGCGGCCAACAGGAGCAGCCCTGGTGACGTACTGCAGTCAGTTCTCAGTGGCGCCAGCGCCAGTGGTGATGGGGCAGTCCCGCGAGGTCGCGCCATTCGTCGAGGTCACTTTCGCCAGATTGCCGCCAAGCTCCCTGGGCCTCTCCCTGAGCAGGCGCTGGCCAAGATGAGTGAGTATGTCACCACGCAGGATGGTGAGAAGGCGGGGGAGGATTTTCCGTCTATCTTCATGAAGTACTTTCTGAATGTCCCCGTCCCTCAGACCCCCATCAAGTCGATCGGGATGGAGGTCTACCGCGAGATGAGGACAGGCTGCGAGGCCGCGGATGCCATCCCTTCGGGCAAGACGGCCTACGCCATTGACGTCCTGGGTCCACGGTTCAAGGCACTTCAGCTTTCCGCTATCGACAAGTGTTGGTCGGGTGCTCGCCGGCTGGAGCTCATCCCGTCCATGAACGAGCAGCTTGCGCTCAGAACGGAGGATGAGGAGATCGTGCGTGCCGTCGAGCTGGGCGATTTGCGCCTAGAGGAGCTGCTGCCCGAGCTCAGGCAGGGCTGGGAGACAGGCCGGGAGAGGGAGCCGCCGAGGAGCAACTCCCCTCCTGTAGGCCACACTGGCGGGGGCCGAGGCAAGGCGGCACACCGGCTGCCATGGCCTCGGACGCCTGCGGGCCTCGTCGAGGACCCACCGCTACCAGCAGCACCCGCAGCAGCAGCCCGCCGCCCTACACCAGGGCCGCAGCGGAGTGCGCAGCTGCGCGAGGACTTTTCGAAGGGGGCGACGCCGAAGGAGGTCTCCTGGAAGATCGTCAAGGACGCCCACCCGAAGAAGCAGGGTGAGACGCGGGGAGCCTACGGCATGCGCCTCAGGAAGCTCATGCAGGAGGCTCGCGGGCGGCGGGACTGACCCGCGAGGTAGGCCACGCGGCAGCGCCGAACACCGACGCGCAGCCTCGCTGGACTGAACACTTGCCAGTCTACACTGACTTGATCGCGTGGAGGCCAGCTGTGTGTTGAGCTGTACCCGCCACGCCGCACTTACTGGGCTTGGTCATCGCTATCGTCACCTTGCAGTGGCAGCACCCAGGCCGCCTTGGAAAGTTTCGCCGTGAGTTTCGTCCACACCTTCCCACGACTGGAGGGCCGCAGGTAAGGACGCATGACCTGTTGCCGATGGCCCTCCACGACCTTGCGCTCACGCGAGCTGGGGTCTCATCTCAGGGCGGATCGAGAAGGAAGCGTCAGAGGTTCAGAATGGAGGGGCGTTTAGTCGCCAGAGGATTTTGGTCATACATAGTGGTGCTGTCTCTCAATTTCGAGTACGTTGGTCGAGGTGACCCTCGCCTGTGGAGGCACTCGCCAGTGCTACATCCTGCCCAGCGGTCCGCCTACAAGACCGTCATCTCCCACGTCGACGGCTTCTTGGATGACCCACTGGCTCGTCGGCCTGACATCGACTGGTCCCAGAAGGTCAACAAGCTCAGGGCGACTACACTGGTGAGGAGCAGGACGAGGCCGTGCCTATCAAGCTGGCGGAGCCTATACCAGGCCTTCCCGACAAACAGCATGCTGCGCAGCTTCAGACGGAGGAGTTCGTTGACGGGCACATCCTGGAGTCGCTCATGGACCCTGAGGTTGCCCCGCTGCCTCGGGCGGACTGGCCGCTGCACCCTCCTCGCGCCCGAGTCAATTGCGCGAGGCTCGAGGACTGGTACGAGGTCGCAGAACACTTGGTTGGCCTCGGCATCTTGGGCGTGGTCGACGAGGCGGACATGTTTGCGCAGCGGGCCCAAAAGGTCTTCAACGGCCTAGTCGCTCGCGAGAGGTAGGCCAAGACACTCGAGGCCTTGTCGAGATGCGCGCGCCTTATCTTCAACATGATACCCTCCAGCGCCTACCTCCGCCACATTGTTGAGGACACGTCGACTTTGGCGGCCTCCACCACATGGACCAGCCTCCACTTGCCAGCAGGAGGCGTCATGGCGTGGAGCAGCGACGACCAGGAGGGCGCGTTTTATGTCTGGAAGCTGCCGCCAATCTGGGATGGCAGAATGGCCGTCTCGGTGCCCCGTGCCAGCGAGCTCTGCGGGGTTGTCAGGGGACCGCCTGGGCTACGTGGCGTTCCGCGTCATCCCCATGGGCTGGGTACCCGCAGTCGCCCTCTTCCAACACCTGCATTGCCGCCTGGCCCTGCGAGCACCGCGTCTAGGAGCTGGCTTGCCTGCAGAGGCAGAGTGGACGCGCATTCAGCCTTGGCCGCTAGCGAGGCAGCATTCTCATGCGTGGTGGCAGGTCTACATCGATGATCTTGATGCGCCCGAGGTCCTTGAGGCGGCAGAGGAGTATCGGGCCGTGGGCACCCCAGGCGAGATGCAGCTCGCCATGCGGCGCGCCTACACCCAGGCAGAGGTCGCCTACGCGGAGGAGAAAAGCCATGCGCGGCAGCTGCAGCTCGAGAGAATGGGGGTGTCCATCGACGGGTGCGCTGGTACGATCAGGGCCCCTGCTAATAAGGTGACTGAGCTGGTCCGCTACATCTTGTATGCCCTGGGCCGCGATTACTGCCCATGGCTGCTCATGCTCACGCTGCTGGGCTGTGCCGTTCAGGCCCTGGAGTTCAGGCGGCCGCTCTTGAGCTGCCTCAACTTGGTCTGGGAGTTCTCCGCCAGGGCGAGAGGTAGGCGCATCAACATGGGCATCAACCAGGAGCTGCTCGTGTGCAGGGGGTACCTGCCCTTTGCGGGTACCGACCTTAGGGCCGCGCCGTCGCCAGTCGCCACCGTCTCGGATGCCTCGGAGGCTGGAGGTGGAGTGCGCGGTTCCACTGGCCTCACGCCCGTGGCAGTGCAGCAGCCCAGGGCCGCCCGCCAGGGAGCTAGGCCGGTGCTGGGGCCAGGCCGCGGCGACCTGCAGCCCGCGCGCAGCTCCCCGTTGCTGCCAGGTGGGCGGCCGCGGCCCAGGGTGCTCATCGTGAGCCTCCTCGACGGCCTCGCCTCGCTGAGTGTGGCAATGTCCAGGCTGCCAGTCGACATCATCGGCATGGTGTGCAGGAGGTTGACAAGCCTGCTAGGCGAGTCGCGACTCCGATGGCCTGGAACCGCAGATTGGGGTGATATCCGATCGATCTCCGAGACGGACGTCACTAAGCTGGCTGACACCTACTACAGCCTGTGCGACGTCTGCGTCCGTGGAGCAGGCAGCCCCGGGCAGGACCTCAGCGCAGTCAGTTTGCCGCGGGGGCAGGCCTGGGGGGCCCCAGCTCGAGGCTCTTCTATGAGATCCCACGGGTCCACGGTCACCTTCGTAAGCACTTCGAGGAGAAGCTAGCCACCTTTGCGGGGAACGTTGCCTCTATGAGTCTGCAAGTGAGAGATGCTACCACGAAGGAGCTTGGAGCCCCGCCAGGCAAGCTATGCTCCGCTATATTTGTTCCTGCCCGTCGGCCGCCTTACTACTGGTGCAGTTGGCCTGTGCAGACTCGCGGGGAATCCGCAGTCGAGGAGCGGCGCCAGCCCAGAGGGTCACACTTAATCGTGGACCGGGTCAGCGGTCCCGTCGCCCCTCTCCCGTGGGTCGCTGCTGGCTGGGCCTGGGGAGGCGGCGCTGCTCCACTACCGATGCTGTGTGCCCGCGGCCAGCCTCAAGTAGACCTGCGATGCCTGCTGGCCTCCGCTCTGCTTCGGACGCGGCAAAAGGGAGGTGGGTACAGGATTGTCGTCGCCATCACTTGGGCTGGTATGAAGAGACCTCCACGCAGTGAGACGACCAGGATGGGAGCCCCCGCGCGCCTAACCTCGAGGAGAGAGAGGAGGGTTGCTGGGATTCGACAGGCATTACACAAAGGTCGCCCGCAAGACCCTGAGGCCCAAGGAGTTGCTGACACGAGGAGCTTTCCCTTGGGCCACTCTTACTCAGCGTATTCGGTCTCCCGGCTCCTCCAGCAGGTGTTCCTGGCTCGAGGACTCCTTGCTCGGGGGCTACCTGCTGAGGCTCTGTTCGCGCGGGGGTCGTGCCCGCAGGTCTGGGGTGAGATCGGCACCTACCCGAAGGGCACAGCCGAGTACGACAAGAAGCTGGCCTCAGAATTCACAGGCGAGTTCCTTGCACTAAGTGATCGCAGTGGGAGCGACATTCGTCTAGCCGTGGGCCTGCTTTACCGACCCAAGGCGGGGCCGCGGGCGAGAATCGCGGTCTCACTGAGGTGGCAAGACAGCATTGACATCCACATTCACGCCCGCGAGCTGCAGGCGGGAGTCGCAGCCCTGCTTTGGAGGACTCGCTCCACAGAGCACCTCAGCGCCAGGTTTGTCCACCTGTTTGACCCGCAGGCTGGCAGCGATCACTACGAAGGAGCGGTCGGCCAGCACCAGGCTGCAATGGCTCCTGCGCCAGTGGGCCGCCCCCTGTGCGGCGGGAGGCCTCTACCCCATCATCGAGTACATCAGGGCCGCTGGACACCGACGAGGGCATCGCCGAGTACATAGAGATGCTCTGTAGCGAAGGCTTGCCCGTTAGCATTGCCAACTCTGCTGTCGCTGCGGTGGTCCTCTTCTTTCCCCTCAGTCAAACAGAGCTGGGGGGGTTGTCATGGAGTCTGCTCAAGGCTTGGAGACACGCGAACCGCCTGTTCTCGCCCTGCCATTCACGCCAGAGCTCATTCTGGGAATAGCCGCCCTCGCCATCGAGTGCGACGCTGTGGACATCAGCACCCTCCTCGCATTAGGTTTCGCAGGTCTTTTCCCCACAACAGAGGTGTTCACATTGTCCAAGCAGCAGGTTGCAATCATCAATGACGGAGTCAGGGTCCGCTTGCTTGAGACCAAGACGGAGCACCGCAAAGCCACTACCGAGATGGTCGTTGTCGGCTGCCCCATCGCAGTGGATCTGGTCAAGCGCTGGTAGGTACACGCAGCGCCTCCTGATACGATCAGCACACGATCGCCAGCGCAGCTTCGCAGTTGCGGGGGAAAAAGCTGCCGACGTTCTTTCACCTCGAGAATTTCCGCTTCTCGTAGTACCCATGCCGTCGTGGTGGTGCCGCGTACGACTTCATCCCGCATCAAACTATGGAGACAACGATCATGAAAGGCAGATGAAGTTCACAATGACCGCAAAGATTTACATTGAGCAAGCAGTTGCAGGCATAGTCCAAGTCACTCCTGCTCCTGATGACCACAGGTTGATCCAACACTTTGCGCGTGGTCTTATCAGTCGAAAGTTGCAGGAGAAAGTCAGAACAGATGCGATACGCTGTGCAAGAGATCTTGAGACACGACGCGCGAGTCCTCCCGTGCCAATTTTGTAAGTCCGTGGAATACCCCCACGCTGTATAGAGGCTAGCCGCCTGTCCGCTCCGATCTAGCCCTCCTCAGGCCTCGGCGTTCCCTCGGGATTCCCTGGGTCGTGCTTCCTGGGCTGGAGTCTTTCGGATTCTCCTCGGGCCTCGACCTTGGGGTATCCTGCAATGAGATTCCTTGGGTGTCCTCGGGGCTGCCTGGAGGTCTCCTGAGGTCTTGGGGGTAGGTCTCGAGCGGTGAGGGGCCTGGCGCATGCCTCTCCAGCTGGT